ACAAATATTTTAAAATAGAAGAGTAGAATCATGAATTTTTTTTTTTTTTAAGAGGAATTATGGAGTGACCATCTCCACTCTAGATTTTCGTAAGTTAGAATTTGTTTATTTAAACTAAGAAAGAATTGTTTAAAGAACTTGTGGGTGACGGTATGCAGTTGAAGGCTTTCCCATGCCAGCTTTCGAACCTGTCCTCTTTCCCACACGGGTTCACTTCACACGAGTTCAAACACCACTCCGCTCCGCCATATGAATTGATGTCCTTTGTTTAGATCGCACAAAAATTAAAATATTAATAATAAATTTAGATGGATAAAAATTTTATTGAGGGTATTTTACAAATTTTAATATTTAAATTATATTTTTTATCCTGTACTATAACCAAAAAAAAAAAGAAGCATTATTGTTTTTCAAGAATTGTATTGGCCTAGCTTCTATTCCTAATAAATAAGCATGTCCAAAAGTCGTGAACAAAATTTTTTTTTTAATAAAAACTAGATATTGTATTAAAATAATAAAATCTATCTCATGTATAAATTTCTCTATTGCGGTATTTATAGTCAAAATAAAAACATATTTAAAAGTATTAAATGCTGACAAAAATAGTAGTTGTGACAAATAAAAATAATTAAATATAAAAAATTATATGTACTAAAAATTATATTAACAATTGTAACCATTGTTATAGATGCAGAAACAAAGCTTAGAAAGAAAGTACTATTAAAATCTTTAGTTAATAGATATTTTTAACTACTATACCAACTTCCTAAGAAGTGTAGGTATTTCAGTAAACTACAATCTCCATCCACCGACTATCATTCTGGAAAAAAAAGAAAAAAAAAGGTATTACTCTAAAAAAATTTTGAATCTCTTCCACAAATTACCAAATTCATGCCTAAATTAAGCTAAAAGGGAATTTAAGGAGTTGTTTGATTGTGGGATACTTCCCCCTAAACTTATTAAAATTTTTCCTTTTAAAATTATTTATATATTTTTATACATTAATATTACAATAAAAGAAAAATAAAGATATTTTTAATTTTTATTTTTCTTAAAAAATTTTGAATCTCTTCCACAAATTACCAAAGTCATGCCTAAATTAAGCTAAAAGGGAATTTAAGAAGTTGTTTGATTGTGGGATACTTCCCCGTAAACTTATTAAAATTTTTCCTTTTTAAATTATTTATATATTTTTATACATTAATATTACAATAAAAGAAAAATAAAGATATTTTTATTTTTTATTTTTCTTAACACAAATTTCAATTTGTAAATTTTTTTTTTATGTTTTTTGAAAGAAAAAAGTTTCTTCTTAACTTTTTCTACATAAAATTTACTTTGATAACTTTCTTACCAATTAATTTTAATATATCATTTTCTTACCAAATATTAAAAAATTTACAATTCAATAAAATTTAAATAATATTTTACTATTAATTTTTAGTATAATATTTTTTAATAAAAAATATTTTACAAGTTAAACTATTTTAAATTATAAAATACTAATGATTTGATAAAAAAATTCTCTAATATTAAAGACCTATTTTTTTAGTTAATAATTTTTATTTTGTAATTTAAAATAATTTAAATTATAAAACTATGTACCTATTTTTTAATTATTTTTCTAATAAGGGAGATCCTATACCTAAGTCAGCCCCCAACCGCTCATGGGCAAAAGCCTAAAAATAGTCCCTTACTTTGATAAGTTGGACGGTTTTAACCTCTCACCTTATAATATAACGGTTTTAGCCTATAACCTATAAGAATGGAAGAAAATAGCCCTTACCTTTAACTTCCGTCCACCGTCTGTAACCTCCGTTACTTTTTCTGTTATATTTCCGTTAACTTTGTCCGACTTATGCCTATAATAAATAAAAAAATGGGAAAGCTTCTCCAAGAAGT